TTCAAAATGACTTCTGACGTCGGGCTTCAGCAGCCTCGCTGTCAGTAAAAAACATACTAAAGTTAATACAATCGAAAATAAGAAAATATGGTAAGTGGCAGAGAATCAAAGATAGGAGAAGAGTAGTACTCCTTAAACAAAATGTAAGGCTTAAATGAGTGACAATTTAGCAAGATTAGAAAGAAACTTCAACCTGAAAGCGCGTTCAAGCTCCTTGTCGAGAAAGTCCAATCTCCAACCTTTGTAAAAGGCTTTTGCAGCTTCGTCAGAATTCTGGGATTATGTACCATGATTCATGAAACTTAGTTTTTGTTGGATAGTTTTAAAGTATTTAAAATATTAATGGGTTAATTGCCAAAAAAAAATAATTGCAAGCTTAAAGATGAACAAAAGAAACCAAAGAAGCATGTCCGAATGGTGAGATTGCAAGAGACATGATCACATGGCATGATCAGAAAGGACCAAAGGCATTAATTGGCCAAACGACTTGATCAGAGATGACCAAAGCATTAAAAAGGTGCCTTTTGAAATATTTATCAAAAGATGTATTGGTTTGAATCTGTTGTGTTTCTTGGTCATTTTGTGTCCGATAAAAATGCCTGTTCGTTCCCTATAAAAGAGAGGTCTTAGTCATTTGTAAATGGGCATGTTAGTTATTACTTCACATCTGTAATTCTGAAAGAGTTTTTAAATTCTGCTGTATTCTGAAAACATTTTGATGTTCCAAAGATTATGATATCATGCCACAAAACTTCTTTCTTTTCCTTTACTATTTTATTTCAATACTATTTTTCTAACAGATTCTAAAGCAGAAAAGCTCAATTTGAATGCAATGGAGGTGATCCAGAGTCTAGACTAGAAGTAATTTCCTTTTAATAGCATCCATGCCACACCCGCCTGGAAGTAAGCTTTTGGGCAGTCGAGCCTTAGATAGATGTAGGCCTAAGATAGATGTAGGCCTAAGCATCGTCTAATGCAGCCTGTCCTCTATTCAAGCTGGCAAAATTCCCCTTCCCTCCCTTTTTTTCCCTTTAACCCAAATATACAAGAAGAAAAGAAAACCAGCGTATGTCACTTGGTGTGAGAAATTTTGAGCTTCTTTAAGAGTTTGTTAGATCAATTGATCAGCAGAGTAGTTTTTCAATTAAGTTGGGGTTTGATCAGAGAAGATTCCCTGGATGCCAGAGGTGGAGTATTATGATCACACACCCTTTTAAATTCTAAAATTAAAGGAAAAGTTGCCAATTTCACAGAAAACAAAGTCGACACAACTCTAGACTTACATATTTAAGGAACAAAAATAATAAGCCTTGCCTATTTGTCTAAAAACAGCAGTGACACTAAACACCATTTAACAATGAAACATATGCAAATATGCACACATGCAAATGTGCATGAGTATTTTTGATACAATACTAACTGCATTAAAAACATAACGTACTCAGTAGATAATACTAGGCCAGTAAGCTTCCCCTTGAGTCAACTCCGTGACCAAAAAGACACAGCATGGTAGAGTTTTTCACATCTTTACAACTCTGCTTTGACAGATTGGAGAAGGTATGGTGCCAACAAGAGAATAGCATAATCTATGCCATCTTTAGTATGGGAAGGAACGCATTTTGTTTCGTTGGGCCTCCATTGCCTCCCTGTCATAGAGACACAGGAGTTAAGGTAAATAATTTGAAAAGGAATGGATACAGCACAGCAGAAAATCAGGATGGAGGCGAGCATTTGCTTGAGAAGAAAAAAAAAAATTAGGAGGCTTAGAAGAGTATATGTGTATATGTGTAATATAAGTTTCTACATTGCTTACCTAAAGCACTCTCAAAGACTGATAATTAGAGAAAAGAAATAGTAACAAAAGACAAACAAAAATTTGGAAGGAAAACTACCGGAAAGCACGTTCAATCTCCTTGTTTTCTTTATCCATTTTCCAACCATGATAAAAAGCATCTGCGGCTTTCTCAAACTCCTGGGATTATGTATCATGAAACTCGGATCATTGGGCAGAAAATATCAACAGAAGATCAAAGTACACTTTCTAGAAATAAGCTTACTTTCAATACCATCCAAGCAGAACCTGCCCTGTAATATGCCTTTGGCCAATCAGGCCTCAACTTGATGCAATCTTGAGCATCTTCTAGAGCAAGCTCCCCTTCATTCATTCTGGAGTAGCAAAGACTACGGTTGGATAGTACAGTTGCATCAGTAGGGTTGATAAAGTGTGCCTGCAATTTCATCCAAAGACCAAATTAAGAAGATGAAACAGAAGATTTTAGAAAGATATTAATGCAAGGGAGAATTTCCAGAAGCATAGGGCTTGAAGGATGTCCAATGGTTAACAGGAAAATTATAGAGATTAAATAGCCTCCTATATATATTTTATGATAAATTTGTACAGTCTAAATTGTAGAAACATTAAAACCAAGCATTAAATTGCCTTTGCACCTCTGTGTACCACTGTGTTGCACCAAAATAATCCTTTTGGTCAAAGGCCTCTGCTCCTTTTGACTTATAAAGCAAAAATAGCTCTTTTGACTTCCGCTCCCTCTGTACAATTCCAAGCACAGTAAACAGCAGTCTCAAAATAGCTGGGTTATAAAACAAGAGCACCTACTACCATGAAATCTTGGAAGAACATTTTGCAATTTAAGACAACCAGTTTGTCAAACACACTCCAATTAAATTCATCTACCTCATGCTAAAAAACTGAGAGAAGAGGATCTTGTCATACCTCTTCTCTAGCCACATGAGAGTCAACATGCTTGATTAATCCAGAAACACTCCATTCAGGAACAGATGGAACGGGAGAAGTCACTGGAAAAAGGATCATTACATCTTGATGGGTACCAGTCAATGCTGCCAGTTCAACTGGTGTCATCCCTTCCTACATTATGGCCAAAAAGATGGTGTCATCCCTGTGTAAATGTGTCAAATTTCCAAAAATTAAAACAGCCAAATGACATTGTAATGAGAATTTCAGTTCCAGACTAGTGTCACGTTACATTGTTTGTGACATTTGGATCAGCTCCAGCATTCAACAGGCATTTAACAACTTCTGCGTCCCCTTCAGAAGCTGCAATTCCCAGAGGAGTCCTTATTCCTTCTGACCCATGAATGTTTGGATCCGCTCCTGCCTACACATATGTAGTATAAAGGTAGGAATGGTGTTCAAGGGAAAAAGACATAAACTGTAATGAAATTTATCTGGCAATCCATTTGTAGATGTCACAACACATCAAACCAATTATCTGCATAAGGAATCAATTTCCTACCACAAGTTTCTAATTCCAAGACATACATTTCATGGTCTGGCAATTAACATCAGTGACTCTTTTCTAAATTCTAATCACTTAAAAGAAACCATTTATACTCCTCCAACAAGAATATTCAACATCAGCAAGGAATCTCAAGCATTACAGAGACATATATTAATAAGGGGTAAAAATAGAAATACCTTTAGCAACATCTTAGTGCATTCAATTGATTTAGCGACGATGGATAACAGCAATGGAGAATATTGATCACGAGAAATCAGATTTGGCTACAAAAAAAAAAAAAAAAGAAGTTAATTAGTGATTAGATGAACAAATGATAGAAAAAAGGGTAGAAGAAGAAATAAGAGAACATACAAACTTTTCCTTGCACTTGAGGATATCACAAATCTATAATGATAATTTTGCATAACAACAGGAACAATGGGAATGTCTCTGAATCACATAGAAATAGTATAGAGAAAAAAACTTGCCAGACCACATAAGCTCACCCAAAGCAGCACAACTCAAGGAGTTTATATGTACAATGCAAAACAAATACAACTCGCTCTTACATTGGCATGGTGATCCAACAGAACCTTGACAAATTCCTTCTTCCTTTTTCCTACTGCATATTGCAACGGAGTACCACAATCAGCCATAGCATTGATTTCAGCCCCTCTTGATATCAAGAGCTCTATAAGCTTCTTAGGTCCTGCAATAATGAAACCAAAAAAAAAAAATCACATGCAACTGCAAAACAAAAATACATGATACTCCAAACAACCACAATAATCCATGCAGACAGATACAGAAGTATGTCTCTTAAATCCAAGGAAGCAGCATCAGGTGCTCCAATTGTAGAATAATCAATGGCTTAGAAAAAATATGGAGTAAAACGAGTTATAAATGCCTCAGATCTTTATTTTGACCTTCTATAAATGCCTAAGTCTAAACCTGAAGAAAAATTACCTTACAAGTGTAATTACAAGAAAAAAAAAATTAAAAACCTAAATTAGCTTATTAAATCAAAAGGGAAAAACAGCTCATCACCAAACACCAGCTAAACATCATGAGCAATTAGCAAGGGATTGCTTCTCCGAAATAGATATCTTGATTTAGAATGCTCTTTTCTCTCAAAACTCAAAATATTCAAAGATACACAATAAATAAATTACATCTGCAAAATGGAAGTGAAAATAGAAATTTGCATTTTCTAGCTATTAATTACCATGTTCTGCAGCATAATGCAAAGGAGTATACCCCTTCGTAGTTGCAGCATTCGGATCTGCACCTTTCTCAAGAAGATAAATCGCCGTGGGAAGATGCTCTTCAAAAATTGCATGATGCAGAGGAGTCGAATTGGAATTGAAATCCTTGATATCGACCTCGAGTTTTGCTTCCTCCACGAGAAACTTGACGATCTGAGTTTTTCCTCCGGCAGCCGCATAATGCAATATAGTCAGACCATCGGGATCCCTAGCATTCAGCACGGCTTCGGCAGAACCTTCCTTCATTTGGAGGTCCTTCAACAGATCTGCCTCAGCATTTCAAAATTTTCAAGAGAACACAAGTTAAGCTCAGTGTAGGGATTAAGCCGCCGTGAAGAACACAGTTGGTAAAGAAAAGGTTACTGAAATTACTCTTGAACGAAGTCAGTTCTCCGAAGGAAGCAGTTCGAAAAAAGTGGATCATCTCTCTAGTTCCTGCAAACAATTACGATTCGTTACAAGTTCAAATTCGAAGAAGAAAAACTAATTAGGTCTGAAAGGGAAAGTGCAGATAAACTAAGAGTGAGAAAATGGAGACTTGAAGACGAAGAAGCCGCCATTAGAGAAGAGATTTGAGTGCGGAGATTGTCGTCTATGGCGGAAAGGTAAAGAGGCGGGAGTTTTGAGAGAGGCAATAACTGGAAGAGAGAGAATGCAGCGCCCCACGGTAGTAGGCTTCGTATTATCTGAGCAAAACGTCTTTTCAATTTTGCCGCCGAATTTGCTGTTATTAATGAGCCAAGATGGTCCCTCCGTCATTTTAGGGTTTGGTTCGTTCGAAAGAAATGGAACAGGTGCGCCCCCTCTTTTCCTTTATTATTATTATTTTTTTGTTTTTTTAATTGTTAGGATGATTTCAGATTAATGTTAAAAAAAAAGAAAAAAAAAAAGCAGATTACGAATTGGAAAAGGGGGACTGGGTTAAAAGGGTACTCTTAACAAAATCATTAAATTGAGAAGGTCATGTACATAACAATGTTTTTTTTTAAGAATTTTTTTTTATTTTTTATCTTATTATTATTTTATTTTTATCTTTTATTTCACGTTACCGTGTTTGATGCAACGTTCTTCTTCGTGCTGTGTTTTTATACTATATATATATATATATATATACGAGAAAGTGGCCATCAGTCCTGACTCCCAAAAAAAATTTGGAATCCTAACCCAAAACGACGCCGTTTTATTAATCTCCCGCCCTCTCTTAATGTCCCGCCCCTCCTTCTTTTTGGCCCTTCTGCACTCATCTCCTTCTCCATCTCCATTGCTTCCCATCTCCATTACTTCCCATCTCCATTGACGCCTCTGATTCCTTCAATTTTTCAAATATAATCCCATGCCGTCAACTTAATCCCTAGCACCCATTATTTTCACCCCATCCTCCTGCTACAATTCGTCATCTCTATCAACGGTCACCCCTGTTTCTTCGAAGGACGATAAGTGCTTTATTTTCTAACTATGCTCTATCTATCTACCCAAGAAAGAAAAAAATCTTACTCCTATATTATCTTTTATTACATGAATTAAGATGAATTCTTCTCCAATTTCACAACAAATATCTCAAAATGAAATTGATGGGAACAACTGCTTAGTCAGCAATGACAACTTCTTAACTGTACAAATGGATGATCTTGAGGGGTTAGAAGAGATTTCTACTAGTACTGCTATGGAAATTGAAGGACCCAAAATGTTGGGTGAAGATGACATTATTGGTGGGATGCCTCGTAAAGGTATGCAATTTCCTTCGGTTGATGAAGCTCGTGAATTTTATAATGAATATGCCAAAAGAATGGGATTTAGTATTCGCACGGAGTCAGCAAAGAGGTCGTCCCCAGATGGACCTGTTAATCGAAAATATTTTGTTTGCTACAAGGCAGGAAAAAAGAGAAATTATCAGCCTAAAAAAAAGGGAACAT